CCCCCCCCATTTCAGTTTATTCAACTGGCACCGCTCAAGGACTAGCTCAATCCAAGTTGAGAAACCAACTGGGAGTTGAAGCAGCAGGAATGCTTGTTTTCCTGTATGACTAAAAATGAGGTGAAAGGCTGAGGCCTAAACTTTTGAAAGACCAGCAATAATCAGTTAAATTCACTAACTACACTTGATACTTCCTTTAAAAAAAAAAATCAGCTTTAAATACAAAACACGTTTTAATAAACTGACATAGAAAAAAGTATCTAGCCCATTTACAGTAGCTTATTTAACTAAAAAAATTTTAAATCCTGGTTCTGGGCATTTAATAAAGTTTCAGTTTCCATCCACATGCAGCTTGACACAGCTACAAATATTAATCACCTAGCAGATAAGAAATGCATTCGTCACCCTTTTCTAAAGTAAAAATGAAGACTCTGAATAACTGTGCATGTTAAGCTATATTATTGCTTAGAGGTACGGTGTAACCTCCTGGGAGCAAGAGAACTTTTACACTTAATTTGGTACAATTCAACGTGTTTGAATGGTTACCAAGCACTGAGAATCAACCTTTCTTTAGGAAAATAAAGAGCAAAACAGGATTCAAATGAAGGTTTGCAGTTTGCTGATTTAAACCATGAGTAAAGTAGTTGAATCACTGTACTCTGCCTCCATGCCCACCACAACCCTCTCGGGCTCACCTGGCATTCGCATTATGCAGAGCAAGCGCCCGCTGCGTGGGAATCAGGAAGATGTAGTCGGTCTCCAGGTCTACCACTGTCCTTTTCATGACTTCCTGGTCAGGGTTGTCGTTCCACAACTGGGTGTAGAGGGAGAATGTGGCATTTGCTGCCCGCATTCCCTTCTGCAGAGTCAGCCCCCGCACCACGTTATAGACCTCATCTCTGAAAAGAGACACAACATCTATTAACTAGGGACTGGCTCTGAGCTCAGTGCTCCTAGCAGCAGAGATATGATGCCTTCAGGCAGCAGGCTGCCACTTCAAGTCCAGCTCGGGGGTGCCTGCAGGTTACCATCATCCTGTGACTCACGACTGGTAGCTCAACCTTCGGCAAGGCTTGCAGCCTGGGAAGACAGCTGGAAGCTAACCTTGGTGTAGCCGGTGAATGTGACTGTCACTTCCAGCCCTGCCTAGGTTCAGTTCCTGGCTCAGAGGGATTCAGCTTCTCAATTTTCGATCCCTTTTCCAGTCACGAAGAACAGGAAGGAGTCAGGGGCAGTTGGAGCCCTCTAGAATGCTACTCTCTAGAGGTCCTTGTGCCCAGTGACTTGGTACAACTGTTGCCAACTGAGGCAGCCCTGTTCTTTACACTCTACTTGTGAAGCCAAGAAACCGTCACTTTCTGGAACACAGGATGTCTGACAGGTGAAGGACCCAAAAGCCCCCACCCAGATGGTTGGGGGGAGAAGCCACGAAGTGTTTGAAAGCTGGAGGAAAAGGGGAGAGTTCTCTTTTCTAAGCCCCTGGCTAAACGGTACAAGAGGCAAAGATCCAGGCTGGCTCTTGGAAACGCCTTTCTGCCGTGCCATTGCATTCATACGCCACATCAGCCTTTGCCCATGCCTTGCACATGGCCGGAGCAAAGCTGGCCCTAAACAGGTGCTATTTTGGCCCAGGTCTGATCTACAGCGGTTCTCAACCTTGGAATGGGTGACCCTTTTCACACAGTAAGCCTATGAGTGTGACCCCTGTCCTCCCTGCTGCTTTTTTATGTTTAACACTATTATAAATGCTGGAGGCAAAGCAGGGTTTGGGGTGGAGGCTGACAGCTCAGACCCCCCCAAGTAACCTTTTGCCCCCAGTTTGAGAAGCCCTGATCTCTGGGATTGGTGGTGTTATTGACATGGTGCCCAAGCCAGTCATTGCATTGCCAGTTCTCAGGTGCTCTGCTCATTGGTTGTCCCCTTTTCTACAAAAGCCCAACTTGCTTTTCCTTTCCCTGGCTACGCCATTAAGGGCGGCTGCTACTTACGCCGTGATCTTCACAAGTGGGCGGTTGATAGCAGGCATGTCAATGCCAGCGAAGATGTGCCCGTCCATGTTATTTGTGCCCGCAATGTAGTCAATGTCTGCAGCGTTAGCGAAGAGATTCTCTGGCCGGTCTGGGAGGAAATCTCCATCAACCACAGGAGTGAAAGCCAGGTAATGGACTAGAGGATCTGCAGGAGGGAAGAGGAAACAGAAATCCACTATGCATCTGTGAGAGGAGCCAACAGCCCTCTTGCCTAGCGTGGCCTGCAGCTGCTTTGCACAGGGAGCTTCTGGATGAACAGGTTCGATGATATCCTGGCTCCACTGAAGTCAATGGGAGCCTTGCCCCTGACTTCAGAGGGGCCAGAATTTCCCCCGTTACATAGTGGAAGATAGGTATATACTATAGACCTCTCACCTAGCACACCCTGTGGCTGCCTTGCACAGGGAGCTTCAGGGTACATAGTGCAAGACAGGCTTTAGCCAAATATCACAGACACTGCATTAAGGTGGCAGAGGGGGGGGCCAAACAACAGACATCATAGGTCAGACCAGTGTCCAAAAGTCAGCTAACTCGCCCAGCCAAGGCTACAGAAGACTGGGGCTTGCTCCTGAGAAAAAGCTCCTCCAGTCGTTCCAGCCGGGTTCCCCTACTGCCAGAAGAGGCCTAGCGCAGCAGAGGATTCAGATGTGGGGCTACAGGGCAAACAGTCCTGTGAAAAGCTAGTCCTGTATTCACTGAATTGGCAAACATTTCTCCACCAGCTGTACTGGGAGTGGGTCTTGCTGGCTCATACGCCCCACCTAGTGGCCCAACTGAAAAGTGCAGCGCAGTGACAATTTTTAACATTGCTCCTGAGTTTCACCAGATATAAAGTGTAGTACAGAACTGGACAGGACAGCTGTCTCCAAGGGACACAGAGGTTGTGTTAAGCCATGCCACGACTACCTGGGTAGTGCAGCTCCACTGTGCTAAAGAGAGAAGCATCTTTTCCAGCATGATCAATCCCAGTCAGTACAAAACGTACTTTATTGGGCTAGGGGCTGACATCTTCCCTTACCGAATGATTGTCATAATGTCCCATCTGCTCACTGACTGGGCTTTGTGGTCACGCAACACACATCCCCCTGGTTCCCATCCCGCTAGCACCCACCGACTCACATGGCAGGTTGACCATCTCCAGGTGGTAGGCCAGCGTCACAGCCTGGGGATCGGTGACCCGGAGGCAGTTGCCCAAGGCCGTGGTGTTGTCGGTAGGGCAGCCCACCTTCTCTGCAACCTGCGAGCGAGAGAAACCACCATGGAGTTACACCCAGAGCCAGTGTTGGCGCAACCAGCCAGGAAAGGGGGAGTTTCTTTTTAATCCTAGAGGATTTTGTTTGCAAATCTCTATGGAGTATTGTGCTGCTCTGAACACTTTTGGTTTTGCTCCTGCTCTTGCTTATTAAATCACCCTCAGTTGCAAGACAGACCTTTAACTGCAGGAAGTCTGGCCAGGACAGTAGGCCTCAGCTTGGTAGCATCAGTGTCTCTCTGAATCCAAAGGGTTTGGATAACTGGAGCACCATTTGTCCTCCTGGAGCTGTAACTACTGTGCAGCTGCTCCCAGGTTCAAATCTGACAAAGACCCTGGGAACCTCTTGCCTCAGGACATTGCCCTGCTTCGGGAGTCCACTTTACCTTGGTAGCCCAGAAGAGAGGGTTCTCCTGGATAGCCCAGGTGCACAGGCCGACACCGCTTTGGCTGATGGCTCGTTTGATCAGCCCCTTGTTGTACGGCGATAGCGTCTGCAACATGGAAGAGGAACAGGAAGGTTATTTGGTATCGAGTCCTGAAAAGATCCTTCCATATTCTGGTACGGCAGAGAGCTCCAGCCCCCACCCAGGCTTTACATGAGGCTCAGAAAAGTCATTAGCTCTTTTCAACTCTCAATGTATTTCAGGGTCTCAGGAACCCAGGGACTCAATCTTCTAAACATCAGGCAGCTAAGGTGCTCAGATACAGAGCCAACAGGGCAGTACAAGAACCCCTATAGGAGAATAGGGCTGGGGCCGAAGATAAAGAGATGCTGTTACAGCAGGTGAACCTTAAGGTGGGACATCGCTTGGGAAAGCAGCACCCTCCAGATCTGGAGGGTTTAGAAAGGGCATTTCTAAATCAAAGCTGAGAGAGCAGTTGTGACAAAAACAATTACTTTCTCTATGCAGAGTGATCTGCTCAAAACGGGATGTTAATTAGCCCATTGTGGCTGGACCTACTGCCCTCCCAGGACAGCACCTGCACTGAGAAAAGACCAGCAGCTGTGATGGGGCAGTTTCAACCAGTCACAAAACGGAGGGGAAAAGGAACCCCACGATGGCCCATCAGTAATCGCACACCTGTAACGAGACACTGACGGCACCAGCCGACTCCCCGAAGATGGTGATGTTTTCTGGGTCACCCCCAAAGGCCTTGATATTTCTCTTCACCCACGCGATGGCCATGTGCTGGTCCTTTAGCCCGTAGTTACCTGGCCAAGGGAAGGCATGTACATTTCAAGGGGGAGAGGTGAAGCAGTGAGGTTCAAAGCTCTCCCTGCCCCACACCCCCACCTCCACTCAGTATCAGACCTGGGGTTAGAACTCAGGAGTGCCTGGCTCCTGAGTTCATGTCTATACGTTTTGTGAAACTGCGTTCAAACAAGAGCTTTTCCCCTCTCCACCCCCACGTTTTCCTCGTGCCACACAGTGAAGCGAAGCCAAGATCTTGTGCTGGCAGGCGTTCTTCCCAGCAATCACTGCAGTAGCTTAACTCTGCTAACCATCTGGTCAGATAAGAGAGACAAGATGTGCTGGGGGAGAAAAGACTGTTGCCTCAAATACCCAATCCACTCGCAGCCTCTGCTCCAGGTATAAACTTGGGCCCTCTCATCCCTTGAGAGAGATCCCTTTTGCCACATTCCCCTACACGGAGTGAAGGAGGCACCTCGCCGTGCGTGTGTGTGAGGGGGAGCAGGACATGAGAGAGCTCAGTATGTTGTGTGAGGGAAGCGTGGTGACAGGAAATACCCCAGCATGAGTGGAGGTGGCGGGGGTGCAGAGAGGAGGTCTCCGGAGCAAAGTGAAGCAGCTGCCATACCTGGAACACTGGCATCCCCCGTGCTGAGGAACCCCAGCGGTCCCACTCGGTAGTTGAAGGTCACCACGATGACCTTTCCTCGCACTGCGATCTCCTGGCCGTCGTAGAGGTAGTTACTGAGGAAGTTTGCGCCCTGCCCACCTCCCAGGAGGAATCCGCCTCCATAGATCCATATCATCACTGGCAGATTTGTGGACACTGCCGGGAGGGACAGACCAAACGAAGTCAGACAAAAGCCCTTCCTTGTCCAAATGAAACCCAAGCCCCTCGATGCCACATAGGCAGGATACCGCCTGTTGGGCCCATTCACCAGCAAGTATCGCCTCACTCAGGCATAAGCCAATCTCTTGGGTGAATACAGAAACATCTGCTTCCAGGTCCACCTGACCATAGACACAGGCAGATGATTCATCAGGACAATAGACTTAGGACTCAGCTACTTTGCTCGATCGGGGCTAAAGAAGCCTGGGGCAGCAATAGAGTGCGGAAGAGACACCCAGCATGGAACTCCAATCCGTACTCGCCAAGAGAAGCACAAGCTCTCTATGGAAACGGGTTCAGTGGTGTCTCTAGTATCACCATCCATCCTCCCAGAGCCTGCAGGGAGGGTCATTTCCACAGAAACAGTGCTTTGCCCGGCAGGCTGTAGCTGCCATAACCCGAGGAGTCAACTGCTGCCCGTGGAGTTGGGGAGAATACATGACTACAGACTGACAGCCCCAGGGAGTCTGTCAGAGATGGGCAGCCAAACACAGAGCTGCTCAGACCTGGCAGGCCTGCAGAGAACCTTCTCCCTAATCGCCTCATGTTACCATCACGCCTGTACCTCCTTTCTTGTCTTGAGGGATCCAGATGTTCAGATAAAGACAGTCCTCGCTCCCACGAGTACCGGTTTGGGTGAGTGTGACCTGCATGCAACGGTTTTTGTACTCCTTGGCCTTCAGCGTACCTACAAGGAGAGAGAAAATTACATCCCACTTTAGAATCCTCGGCTCCATCCTGCAGACCTGCGACTCAGGTCCTGTTCCCGCCCCTCACTCACCACCATGGCATTGTTTCCAACTAGCAAAACAGCTGTGATGAGACACCCCCTTTCCAACTGGCCGCCTCATACCCACAAGACTGCAGAAGCTACAACCACTTGAAACTTGAGGGAACCTTGGGAATTGTGGCCACAGAATCTGCAGGTGCCTAGCTCTGTCTTGGCACTTCCGCCCAGAGAATTCTTGTCTACAATCATCATCCCTTCTAACGGCCCAGACAACATCTTAGTGACATTCACTTAGTGAATGAAAGCAACACCGGCCCCAGCTCCTGCACGCAACATGCCCAGCTGATCACCCGAATGGAAGTGCCGTATGTTACCGCGAGGGTAAGGTATGCCATGGAGAAGGGCAATGACAGAAAAGGGGAACAGGACTTTGACATTCATGAGGGTGGAGCAAAATATATCCCAAAATAAAATCATTGGTAACCACCGTTGACCGGCAGGGGTATGAAAGCCAGAGCCTCTCTCAGAGGAGGCCTCTGTGATACTCAGCAAGATGGCTAATGCAGTATTGGGAAAACAAACCAGGCTTCCAAAATGGTATGAGAATTAAAATGTTCTAGGGGTGGGGGCAGAAAACAAGAGACATTCTATATATGTGTCTTACCATCCCAGCCAGGATGTTGTTGAGGGTCTTCAAAACTCTTTGGAGGAGCAGCAAAAGGGATTCCTCTGAAGATATCGATGTAGTCACCGAAGAGACCCAGTCTTTCATTGACGCCCTCAACAAAACCTCCTTCAGTGTGCACCACGCCCAGCTAAACACATGGCAAGAGGAGAGAGGGGACAGCAAACACCTTCCCGTGAACGTAGATAGGCAGAATTCACAGCAGGAACACATCTCCCCAATCATTCAGCCCCAAGATGCATTCGCTATGAAAACAGCATGTTTGCACAGTAGCGGTGTTCGTAACCAGACTTATTTTACATCAACTGAAATAGCATCCTCTGAAGACTTTATAAAATTAATGACCACCACATTCTATTAATGAATAACTTGCACTTGTGTTCAGGATTTTATCCAGCAAGGACTTCTACGCATTTTACAAATATTAGATGGTGATAAATCCTGACCCCATTTTACAGATGGGGATATTGAGACACAGCAAGGAAGTGACATGGAGTCAAAGGGAGTTCTAGCAAGAAAGTTTTGAACTAAATGTTCTTTTATGCACTACTGAAGATACCAGCCTGTGCAACACGAGTCTTTTATTCACAAGGGTTGGGATTTTTAATGAAGCTTAAGGGAGTCAGGCACCCAGATCCCCTTGAATATCAACATCTATTGGGATTCTCAATGGAGGCTAAGTATCAGACTTACCCCCATCTGGCCACTTCAGGGGCTACAGAAGAAGCGAGGTTGACTCATAAACAGAACTGGACCTTAAATTACTCTGCAGAGAATCTTGCAGTCATGAGATGCGAAAGGTAAATGTTTGCCACCACCTGCTGCCAAAATTATCACAATGGGCTCCCCAGTATCCAGCCAGGAGCTGTACAGAAGAATAATTCCTACCCTTCAACTTTACTGAGGCGGCATGAGCTGTTCAATGCTCAGGGAGACACAGCAGAGAGGAGAAGGCTGGGTGGCTCTTGTTTCATTGGATGAAAGCTACCCAGATCCCAGTAAGGGGACGATGAGCATTGGCAAGAGAAACAAAGGCCAGCCCCATTCAAACTCTCTGGGTACACGTTAGCTGTCTGCACTCAGTAGCTGGAATTTCCCATTTCCATTACTTACTTTATCCAAAGTTAAAAACAAAACCAGCCCCTTGCTACTTTGCCTTCCTCCTTAACCACAGCCCACCAGTACACAAGCGTCGTGGCCAGTGGATCAACAGTTTGCAGAATGCTTCCCTGTCCCTCACATCCCTTCTTGACATGCCCATTCAGACTCCTGTGGGAAGACCATAAGACAGGGCTCTGCCAGCCACAGGATGTGGAATATCCCTTGTGCAGCTACGCTGCAGGCTGCCCTGCAGTTCCATCGCTTTCCCGAATTCTCAAAACAGCACAAAGGAGGAGAGAGAACAGAAAATTTGTCCCCAATGAATGCATAACACTGAAGAATAAGTTGTAGCTTATTTTGCTTGTATTTGATTCTAGATATATCACACACAAGGTATGCTTCAACTCCGATCCCATTGTAAGCAGCCCTTTCTGTGCACTTGATCAAAATTTTCTCAAAAACGCTCTCTTTGGGTTGGAGCTTTCCACATTTCATCTCACCTGCAGCTAAGTGGTTCACTGTGCTGGAAAGTTGACTTAAGGTCTGTTCAGCTACTGACGCAGGCAATCGGTGGGAAAGAGATTCAATTTGTTTTATTAAAAAAAAATAAAAAAACAAGGCAGCAAAATTAAATACAAAATTAAAACAGATGATAATTAAAAACAAACCACTGTGGAGTAGTTACATTGTGCCTGAACCTAAATGCCTGGCACACCCAAAATTCCCACTGATTTTCAATGAGTTTTGGATGCACCAAGAATGCATGCAGGATCAACGGTATGTTTGAGAATATATATTTTAAAGTACATTGCAAATAAAAAAAGTTAATTTTGTTATATTGTTGCCTGCAACTATTGATTAACTCCACAGTGCTCCAGGTATATTTTTGGTATCTCTAAAGAGGCAACATTTAAAAGATACTGAGTTGTGTAAATCAGTATTGAAAAACACTATAGCGTCACAGATAAAGTTGTTTTTGTTCTTTAAATCCTGGTCAAAAGGGGGAAAAAATGCAAAATCCATGTTAATACAACAGGGAAGTTGCAAATTTGAACTCATGAATCAGGAAGCGCAAACATTAAGGTTCTAATGGCAACAATGAATCACCCACACATACCCCTTAATAGTATTTTCAATGGCTAAATGTAGAACTCTGTATAAAATAGGCACAAAGTTTCTACTGGAATGTTAAAATGAGTATTTCCCAAATAGGTGTGCATTCAGATTTGCAAACTTTATGTTGCAGTACCAACAAGGTTTCTGCACTTAATAGATTCCTCTTTCCTTACCCAGAAAAATTAAGAGGAAGAATGAAAAACCGGAAAGTGAAGTGCTGCAGACGATGGTTTATTTCGGAGAGATAGTAGGCAATGAGATATACATTAAAGAAGAACTGCAAAGGAAAGGAAAAAATGGGTTGGAGCCCTTTATATACTATAAAGTAGCAAGGGGACATAGCCCTTTCCCCCCTTTTGCAGGTCACCTTTAATAGAAGTCTTAGATAACTATCCAAAATAACTACAACAGCTGTTTTCTCATCTAGCAAAGGCCATACAAAACCTTAAAAGGTTTTCTTCTAACCAAGCAGCCTGTTTTCACTCTAACACAATTTACCTTTACATTGACTGTTATGCATCAATGAACTACCTCATACTTACTGTTGTAGCCCTTGCTACTCCAAGGTAGCAGGCTAGGGCAAAGCACAGAACCTCCCAATGACACATGATGCGTGCTGGACAAGCCTGTCCCAGCACGTATGCCTATATATACTGTATAGGAGTGCAGATACTGGCATATGCCCACGCAGCTCTGCGTAATGCCCAGCACGCTGCCGTGTGCACCACTGGAGATCGCACACACCTGCAATTCACCTGTCGGCAGCCAAATCTTTCATTTCAAGGTGGAAAATGTAGATAACTGGCACTAGCGTATGAGAGACCTCCAGCTGTTGCTGTTATGGGCTGGAAGCCAACCTTATCATGAATTCCAGGTCTATAACAGTTCTATGGGGGAAGGGGAAAGACTCCTTAAGAACGCCCATCCATGTACGTTACATTTAAAGTTAGGCTAAACCATGCATTAGCAGGCAGGCAACAATCTTGCACTGATTGGAGAATATAAGACTCAGTCGGTCCCAAGAGATCTTTAATTTCTCTGATCGAATGCCAGAAATTCAGCAAGCAACAGCATGTTCCTGGCTAGAGGTCCCAGCCTCCAAGCATCTGAAGCTTTGTGTTTCTGTCCCCCCCACTCTCTCTTGATGAGCAGAATCAAAAGCTGTCTGCTGACTGCAAAGTTGTGGGAGTACATTGCCTGGCAGGGACAACATACATCATCATGGAGAAGTGAATTACTCGCTGCCATGGAAGTCTCTTCTAATTTGAGTTCCTTCCCACTGCTTTTCTTTCCAACTTCTCAAGCTGACTGAATGCAGAAGATGCAGTCAATATTTTATTCCCACTCAGAAGAGCAAAAGGCAACTGCGAGGTATGGAATGCCTTCCTGAACTTCTCTCTTGCCTTTACCCATCGAGCCGAGGATGTGAACCCACTCAGTGCATTTTACGGGGAAGAACAAACACAGAAATCCAGTTCAGGTTTTTCTCCTTACTTCAAGTGAATTCCCAGTCTGACCTAGATCTTTGTCTCAGTTTATATCTGACCACCAAGTAAAAGTCAGTTTAGATGAACTCTTTTAATCCAATTCTTAGTTAAAATTCTCAAATCAGAATCACTTACCTAATGAATGTCCAGTTTACCAACATGTTTCTGTTGACTCAAAATCATTTTGAGGATATTGGCTGTACTACGTATATCTACACAGAAATCCATGGAAGAATGTGTTACTGGAAAAAGGAAGAGTTTTATTGAAAAATAGACAAGGTGTTATGTTTCATGGGGACCTGGACTTTCCCCGAGGGAAATTATTGTTTGCTTCTCATGCATATACAAAATTATTACAGATACCTGCACATGTCCCATTGGATAGACTCCACATTTGATTTAAGCCAGCCAGAATGATACTCTACAGAGCCTCTCGATTAAGAATCAGCAATGACCTTGTTCGTGCAGTTCTCGATACAGAATTAATTTTGTTTGAAGTTTTTCCCACTGACCCAGACGCCAGGTTTAGAATTGTGTGACCTCCACACATTCCCTGAATGGTTCTAATTAAAGGTTAACACTTTGGGCTCAAGAGGCCAGTGGAACACCTGTGATCTGGGTTGGATTCAGCACTTGTTGAAGTCTCTGACATATCTGAGCTAGCAAGGATGAAGAGACTCTCAATTTCTGGTAAGAGGAGACAGTACACTAACATTCCGCCACAGTGGCTGTCGTAGGAACATCTATATTGTCTCAAAGGGAAGTATAGATCCCTTTGATGATGGGATCAGATGTTGCAGTTTGTAAGCGCAGGGCGAGAAGGGAAATTAAAGCAAGTGAAATCCCATCTAGCTCCACTCTGACCAGAAAAATGGCCACAGTAAATGCCGGCCATGCATGTTGCCTGGGATTGGCCATGGGCCAGCATCCCCACAATGGCATCTTTACAAATGCCTGTCACACCAACACTGTGAAAACGTGATCTTTAGCGCCTGCACCTTCAGAGCACTTAGCACAACTGCTAGCACCATATCCAGTGCCATGTGTCTGGTTAGCATCTTCCCGAAAGCCTGGTCATGATTCCATAGCCCCCAGGGCTCAAGGAACAAAAGTCCCATGCAGCCTCATCCTGCTCGCTCACTGTGTCACACATAGTCCAGGATCTCTGTTTCCATTTCATTCTCGCTCCCATCAGAAGGCTTGAAGTCCTCCTCTTCATCCTCCTCCTCCTCCCCAGAGTCGTACGTCAGCTGTTCTTTGCCATCTTCAGCATTCGACGTACTCGAAAACAGAGCTTAGTCAGAAAGAGAGAGAAGAAAAGATGTCAACATTACTTCCCTCCTCACTAAAACAGAGGATGTGTTTGCAGATAAGATTAACAGAGCCAGCCAGAAGATGTAAAAGTG